CGGCGACACCCCGCAGAATCACCCGTAAAAATCACGGTTCCCGTTGCGGCGTGCCTGTGGTTACCCAGAGAGGCAACTCTGCTGTTTGGGTAACGGTCGCCAGCTGTGCCCCTCACCGCTAAACCGTCATATTACCGCCAAGCGCCCCTCCATCACCACTTTATCTTTTACTTTGCCCGCCGCCTGCCGCGCGCAGCCGGTCCTCGGCCGGCGCGGCAGCCGCCTGGAGTGGTAGGCTGTCCCGCCGGGTCCGCCTCGGCCTTGACAAGGCCGGCGCGGCTGGGACCGCGGCGGCGGCGGCGGCGACGGCCGTGCGCCGTTTTTGTCACCCGACTGCTGTTTACGGCGTGCGGCGCGACGCGGAATGGTGGCGCAGATGACACGGGTGGTGGCGCAGATGATGGAATGTGACGCCGAATGTGCTGATCTGTTGACTGGGAATGATGGGTAGTTTTTACTTCGTAGCTTTTGTTTGATTTTTGATGATCATATCTGGGCCTTCTCGAACAAGTAATCGCTTCAGCTTCTGTATTTCTTATTATGCTTTTAAGTTATGCTGGGCCCCTTCAGCCTTGACACATCAGTGAACACAGTTGTGTCTTGTAGTGGAAAACATTTTTCTATGTTTTTAGTCCAATCACATTGCACGTGATCTGGAAGCCGGTCTGTACAAAACACGTTGTCATGGGACATGGTACAAGCCATTACCAGCTCATGCCAGCACCACCATTTTTGGCGAGAATTTGGTCCGTCTAAAGACAGGATTTGTTATGATGACGACGTTAGGTCGTTGATGTCATTGTCACCTGACAAGATGTTCTGTCCTTCATAGTACAACCTGCATTTACGTAATTTTTCATGTTTCCACTACACAGATTATGGGGTGTTTTACGGGGAAATCAAAATGCAGGAAGACAACGCTAGTCAGATTAAGATTTGCATCGCCATGAGCCATCACTAACGCACATATCAGATGCATGAATTGCAGCGTTGATGCAACGCTGGAATTCATTCCAGCGTTCTGTGTGCGATCACGGAACTAACCCTGTTCCGGTCTCAAAGGTGACTGATCAGAGACGAAAGACATCTTTGTGTGTGAAACTCTGGGGTTGGTCTCTAGGCCCTGCTTCTGACTCCTGCTCCTTGGGGTGAGCATGGGTTCAATCCGCTCCTGACTTTATTGAGCCTGGGTTCAGCCTCACTCCTCTCCTAGGTGGACTCGGCACCGGCCAAGTCTTTGCTCCTAATTGTGCTGAGGAGTGACCTAATTTCCTCTCCCAGACTTGTCGCCGGAACTGAAAACGGGTTGAAACTGCGCAGACTATTAGTAGACAACACGCTGTTTTTCAGCCTGGTGTGTGAGCAAAATCCATGTCAACTTGGGCTTTGCAATGGCAAACAGTTGGTGGAACTATGTACTGCGTAGTAAGTCGTTTCGGAAGCCATCTGCCATTCTTGTTTGTATATTTTTCGGACGACCGTGACTTCTGATTACGTTTTCATGGATTCCAACGCCACGTCGCGTTGTGAGCGCGTGTTTTCTCTCACCGCGGTGGATTAAAGTGACGGGGAGATTCGTTGATTTGAGGAGATACTTTTGAGTCTTATTTGAGTCTTATTTGAGTCTTAGGGTTCCTGGCTACGCCACCGTACAGGGTTTCTGGCTACGCCACCGTACAGGCTTTGACTGACAGGTGTTGTAGTTTTTTTCACGCATTAGAAACGTACAGGGCACAGTGATGCAAATGGGGTTCACGAGTGGCCATAAATACGAAAAAGGCCCAAAATTCCAGTTCACTTAATCGAATAAATCGTAATATGGTCAGTCAGGCAAATGTTTGGGGTGTCTGAAAAAGTATGATTTTAATGTTTTTGTCAAAACCGGCCTCGTGTAGGATTGTCAGAAGTCGAGACATTTTCGATGTCGTAAAAATGACTGTCAGGTACTTGAAATTCAAGTGCCGCTAGCGTGCGTGCATATCATACAAACTGCAAAAATTATACATGAAAATGATCCCCGAAACCGGCTGCTTCTAATGCCACGTCATAAAAAGCCGTATCTATTTTGGTTTGACGGTGAGCTAACTATTTGTAATCATGTTGCAACCGCAGTTTTTTACCAAAAATATTTGCTTTCAATTCACCTACAGCACTTCACACAGTGTGTGCCCGTTAGTGCACCATATCATAGCATTCCCTAATCCTTTCTGAGTCGCATCGTGAAAGAATTAAGGCGCTAGCACAGGGCTGACCGGCGCTACAGAAGTTTTCGTCCGGCACAGTCGGGTGCCGCGGCGCAGCGGGCGGCCCGGGCGGCCGCGCCGCCGCGCCGCCCGGACGCCGCGCGGCGGCACCCACTCGCCCACTGCGCGCCCACTGCGGCACCCGACCGCCCGGACAAAAACCTCTGTAGCGCCGGTCAGCCCTGTGCTAGCGCCTTAATTCTTAAACGATGCGACTCAGAAATGATTAGGGAAGGCTATGTTATGGTGGACTAACGGGCACACACTGTGTTAAGTGCTGTAGGTGAAACGGAAGCATTTTTTTCTTAGTAAAAAACTGCGATTGCAACATGATGATAAATAGTCAGATTACCGCCAAAGCGAATGAGATACGGCTTTATGTGACCCGGCATTAGAAGCAGAAGGCTTTGGGGATCATTCTTATGCATAATTTTTTCAATTTGTACGAAATGAACGCAAACCAGCGGCGTTTGAACTTGCGAGTGTCTGACCGTCATTTTACGACCTAGAAAATGTCACAACTTCTGACGATTATACACGAGGCAGGTTTTGACAAAAACATGAAAACCATGTGATTTCAGATGCCCCAAACATTTGTCTACTCGGCCATATCGCAATTAACTCAATTTGGTAAACTTGATTTTTGGGTATTTATGGCCACTCGTGAACCCCATTTGCATCACTGTGCAGGGGGACGATTGAATATAGATAAACTGAAGACAACTAAGGATATAATTAAGTCAAGAAAATGAGCAATGCTATAAGAAGACGATTTGTGATATATTTTCCGGGGAAGTACGCGGAAGCTTCTCACTTCCCAACAAACCTAGTTAAAGATCGGAGTGAAAAAAAAACGTTTGAGTCATGTTGCGGAAATAGTTACACTCGCTCGTCTGCCTCCAGTTCCTACCTCGCCCTCTTTTGTTGTCTTCACACCCCATTGTCTCTATTAGGGCTCGTGTTTTGTTGTCTTCACGACTCATCGGTCCTACCTGCGCGGGTGGCCATTGTTGACCCGTCACTGCTCGCGGCCCGCCCCCGATCCACGGCACGGCCGTGAACTGTAGCGGCGCCAACAGCCCGTCACCGCCGCCAGAACAGAGCGTCCGAGAGTCATCACCTCGGGTGACAAATTGGCCCCCCTCCCCTCCGGTCCGGTGACACGCCGCGCGGCGTCCCGAATGGCCAGACCGGTAGAGCCGCCGGCCGATTTGTCTTCTGCTCTAATGACCTGACCTTGGGTGTGACACGGCGCTTGGTGGGACGCGACGCGCCGCGACCGGCCGCGACTTCCTACTGCCGCCGGCGGCAGACGGCTTGAAGCGGAGTGGAGGGGGAGGGACGCGTCGCAATTCCAGGCCCGCGGGGCAGAAAGAATTGAGATGATTTGATTGGTGTTATTTCTGTTTTAACTATATGAAAGAATTAACTAGGTACGTACCTGCCTAAAATGCCAGAGTTGTCTGTGATCTATGGAACCGGCAACAAAATGAAATAAATAGGATGGAGTTTCAGGTTTGCCTAAACGATGCGTTGACTAATGTTTGACAGTCTACAAATCAAAACTATTGACACGGCATTGTTTCACCAATGCATTCTACCGCCTGGATACACTTTCCCTGTCCATTACGCTCATCCCCACATCCTTGGTAACAAAGCAGCCTCATGACTCGCTGTAAAACTCTACCGACGCCGGCTGGTTTCTGTGACTCCCCGGTATCCTACCCAGCACGGGTGTGTCTCCAACCGGTGCCAGGGTAAAGTTGTCTGCCTGCTGTCCGCTACCTGTCAGCTTTGCCGCCGGTAATGAGATAAAGCCCCGGCGTCCGGTGACAACGTCTGCATTCCGGGGATTGTGGTCGACTGTTTGGTGGTGTGTGGAAGGCGCTTGGTGGCGAGAGGTACGGACATGCGATAGTGAAAGAGACACTTGTGAATGGTTAGGTTTGCAGTGTGTAACTTAGAGTGAAGGCTTTCTGGTGTGCGAGGCGCACTGGCTTTCTTCGCTATTGGAAGAGCGGTTATACGATTTATATCCATTGAATTCTAATATTTTCGTTTTCAGATCGTTTCCGTTCTTATCAAACCCACTGAATTATACAATGGTAATGATTGCTATTTCCGCGCATTAGTTGTAATATCAACCCTTCGGTAAGGCTCACGTAATAAACGATATGCGTCTTATGACGTTAAATGCATGTCGATGACGCAATCAAGGAACGCTAGTTATTTCCGGAACAGCATATTCTGAGGCTTGATAGCCAATTACCAAATTCCCTTGCATGCATCCCGGTTCATGACCTGCAATGTTGATGACATTTTTCAGATTGTTTGGTCTCGGTACTTGCCCTTTCTCATTATCGTAGGTGCTTGTGTTTTGTCTTGTAGGGTCCCGCTCCGGCGCTGTGTCCAATTCTAAGAGTTCAACACCACCGAGTAGTGTTTCGTTCCTGGTTCGTGGCATGCATACCGCTGGGGTTAAGCCGGCTTTGGCCACCTTCCAGGTCATGGCTGCTTGGAGAGCTGCGGTGGCGTTATCAGAATAAGGGAGGGCTTAATGATTTCCTGTTGGTGTCTATGACACTGCTCCAAGCTTATTTTAGGTTTGTTCCTCTCAAATGGCTTGAAGATCGGTCATTGCTCTTCAACTTTGTAGCACAAATGAATCCTGTGAGCCATTGATGATGACAGCTACATTAACCTTTACTTCGGTGTGCTCATCAAGTGAGGTATAAAACAAACTACCAAAGTCAGCGACTGTTTTGCTATGTTTATTGTTTTCTACAGTATTAATGCCGTTACGGGTACATCAGTGTTCTCATCATGACAGCATTTCTCAATTCGCCACATTGCGGCACATACTTAATTCTAATGTTTCCTGTTACAGACAAAGTGCACATCTCTTACTTCTTCCCGCCATGTAACATGTATTATCCTCCACACACTGCGCACCCCACGGCCGACCCCCAATGATATGTGACGATGAGAGCGATGACGTAATACTCGCGACTGTTCGCTATCCCAGGTGTGAAAGACGTGTCGCTTTTCCGCTCACCAAGATCAGATCCAACGCATCAACAACCAACACATGCCCCTCGCACTCATACAAACCTGAACAAGATAAATACACGTGTTAATTAGATCAAAGATCCCGTCTGCACGAGCCATTGCTCCGGGATAGCCTCCGGTCGAAGTTTCGGCGGCTTTCGACTGGAAGTCCACCAGAAAGTCCGGCAGGAGGTCATCCGGGAGTTGCTCAGGGATGCGCGCTACTCCCCGCAGCGGTAACCCGTGTATCGAACGGAAGTCAAGGTGACATTTTTAAGGGAAAAATGTGTTTCGGCTCCTCGCCGCTTGTTGTTTGGCAACGACGGCGACCTCGAGGTCCTCGTTCTCCTCGAAGGGCGTGTCGTCGCTGTAGAGCTGGATGCAGATCGGTTGCCGATGACACCTTCCCGCACCGAAGCAGGCCTTCTTCTGCAGGACGCAGACCTTGCCCTCGGGGCAGCTCTCGCAGTAGGGAACTCTGTTGGAGACGCATAGCGGTGAGAGGGGGCATGGTTTTCCTGGCTGGCAGAGACCTCTTGTGGCGGCGCAGCGCGTGTCGTCTCCACAGCGGAAGCGGACCGTCTTGCAGGGGTGCACGATGGCCTTGCCCGGCTTCTGGCAGGTGTGGCCGCAACCGGTACTGCAGCACTTGGTCTCGCCTTCGCAGTCGTAGTCGCTGCTGCACTCCTCCACACAGCGGCCCTTGTAGCCCTTGACGATGCGCGGGCAGAAGCCGGGCTTGACGGGCGGACACTCCTCCTGGGCGCAGAGCAGGAAGCCCTGGATGCAAGTGCAGCTGTTGCACTCAATGTCGATCACTTCACCATCTTGCTCGCAGGGGATCGGCTTGCACTGGGGGTTGCCGTAGCGATCTTCCTCGCACTTGAAGCCCACCTTGCACTTGGTCTCGGCACAGCCAGGCTTGCGCGGCTTCAGGCACTTGTAGGCGCATCCGTTGAAGCAGCACTTGGCGTCGCCGTCACACTGGGAGTCGAACTTGCACATGTCTTCGCAGCCGCCGATGGGCCGGCTGTCGTTCATGTACTTGGGGCAGTAGCCGCCCTTGGGCGTGGTGCTCACACACTCCGCGTCCAGCACGGGATGATCCACACACTCTGTGCCGGGACCACACTGCAGGTCGGCACACGTCTGACGGAAGTCGGGCTCGACGCAGACGTTGGCGCAGCCGTTGTTGCAGCACCGCTGGCTGCGTGGACACTCGGAGTCGTAGGTGCACTCGTCCTTGCAGAGGCCGCGCTGCGGGCCAGGCTGGATGGCCGGACACCGGCCCGGCTTGCGGACGATCTCGTTGCGTATGCTGCCACAGAAAGTGCTGCAGAAGCCCTGCTCGGTCGCCTTGTTCATGTAGTGCTCCTTCTCGAAGAAGATTGTCTTCATCGGCTGGGATGACGTAGCAGGAGGCTGCTTCTGGACCTGCTTCACAGGCCTCGGTTGCGGCTTCGGCTGGGGCTTCGGCTCTGGCCTGGGCTGGGGCTTTGGCAGTGTGGTTTGCTGCCTGGGCGGCGGCGGCGGAGGTGGCAGTGGAAGTCCGACCCCGGCCCCGCTACCAGACGGCCGGAACTCTCCACTGGGTGGCAGGTAGCTTCCAGGAGGCGGCGGCAGGTACCCTCCGGGCAGTGGAGGCAGGTAACCGTCCGGCAGGCTGTACTGCGGCTCTGCCACCGCCACAGACAGCAGCAGCAGCGCACACACACTCGTCGCCGCTGCCATGACTGCGCGTTTGGAGACGGTCTGACGGACGGACGAGCGGTGGACACGAACGGGTCGGGATCGGGCCTGCACTGTGCCGAGCCGCCGGCACGCCGGCACTTATATTGACCTTCCCCGACCGGTCTACCGAGCGGTGACGTCACGCACGAGTCGCGCGCGCGGTGCCGGGATGGCTCGGGTTGAATCAGCTCACCGGAGCGCTGGCCGACTTCGGACAGGGTGGAGCCTCGGTGGGACCCCCGACCCCCAGGACTCTCCCTAGGACAGGAGGATAATGAACGTCTGTTCTCACATCGGCTCGCCCTGACTCGTCTTCAGCTCGCCCTCGCCCGTCTTGGTCGTCCCAAGTTCGCCCTTGCACGACCCTGCTCCACTTTCGCCGGAGAATTTTGGGCATTGTCCAGTGCGGAGCCGCGGGCCCCTGTTTCGATTTATGATTGGTCAGCTAAGAGCCTTGGTCTAGTTGGCAAGCCAGAGAGCAGAGGCATGCGCCGGCGGGGGCGGAGGGGGACTTGGCACGGTCATCTCGTCCGTGACCTGAGGTCACACGTTGGGCCACCGCCCTGAGTGGCGTGACACTCCCTTCGGTCCCAGGCACCGTGACGTACCGGTCTAGATTTTCCCTTCGATTGTAGGGAGTTTGGGGGACGCTCAGCGTATGCCAGTAGTTGTTAGGTAATGCATCTACGTTTAATGATGTCAACTGTCAATGTCGGTCAGTCCTCTGAAGTTGAGTGCCGGTTTTCAAGTTTTTAATTAAACTATATTAATTTCGGCTTGCTCATCTTGTTGGTTTTAAATGGCGAATTAGCTTTTATTTAAAAGGGTTTACACATCACATCCTTAGTTAGTTCCGGCTATTTATGGAAAAGTCGGTCTTGTGTTTGGTGAATCGCAACAATTATTTTCATTCGCTTAGCAGCTCACAATTATTCATTGTGGGTCATGTAATTAATTTTTGATCTTTTGTTCTTCTATCTGAAACTGAAATTTCATCGAATGTGAGTGGTCTTGTAACTTTCTTTTTGAAATTCAGCACGGTGCGCTTACTTTATGGCGTCCGTCATATATTGCTAGACAGTAGGTATGTGGCTGTGTTCGTGGCTAAGCTTTTTTTACACTACTCAACTTATCGTTCCTGTTAATTATTATCGAATTATCGGCAATGAAAGTCACATGACACTAAGTTTTGGATAATGCTTGACAGTTTATCCCGAGAAAGTCTTCTATCCGTTCCGGGATCCTCTGTTATCGACGAGGTGCATTCTTACCGCTTGCGATATTATCTGGATACTCGCTGCGCGTGGTGAAACTCCTCTGCAGTTGTTGACGGACACAGCAGTAACAATGTGTCGTTTTGGAGCTAACCACTCTTTGCGAATTGTAGCTATATTTCAGGAGTAATTGGCTGCTGGGTTGATGTAAGCTTGACTGGGGTTTTGTGTGTGTCTGGAGGAATATATTCCGTTTGAATTCCAAAGTACTTTATTAAACCAAAATGGTATCACGTCCATTTAAGAACCATAAAAGTGATGCCATGTCACTTGACTCAGCATTTTTCATCAATATCAAAGGCTGTTATCGGAGTCCAATCATCGGCTCCACTTAGCCCTGGCTCTTTATCGCAAAATGTGGGCCTCACTACAGCCCTCCCTGGTCCATTGATAGCATAATTACGCAGTGGCCGGGCCGGTTGGCCAACTGCAGGTCGTCCTTGCTCTGCTTGTTTGTGCCAGGCGGCCTTGCTTGCTATTCGCCTCCCCTCCCTTCCCGGTGCATTCCTCCCGATCGCCCCGCGGTACGTCATCACGACGATGACGTGGGGTGGTCGAACTGGGCCGCTGCCTCCCTCGTCACCCCCCCCGTCCCAAACCCTCCCTACCCTGCCCTCCGGTGCCTGTCCCGCCCCTCCCCGCCCTTCGGTGCAGATGACAAATGTGAGGTGAACATGCATCATGCGAAGTGCCTCGAGTACCCGTCCCGTCTCTCTGGGTCACACTACTGAGCGGTGGCTGGCTGGCGAGCGGCTGGGCTCGTGACTTTACTATTGGCGAAGCAACACACTCGTGTGTTTGGTGTCGTCAGCCCAACGTTATGACGTCTGGACGAATAATTTGGCACAGATACTTTTCTGCTTCCGTATTCAAACCCAATATTTGTTGTGATTTTTATGTTAATTTTGTCGCGATGATTACTGAAACGCTTATCGTATTTGTCGTGACAGTAGTGTCGGTTAGATTTCGTCGGTCCGACAGGACCGCCTGGTTTAGGACCCGCGGCGCCGAGCCAGGTAGGCCGGAGGGGGCGGCACTGGCGCCACTCTGGCGGCGCTCAGTCCAACACCGGGTCACCAGGTGATGGTATCACAGCACCGCGCCCCGAGCTGCCCGGCACAAGGTCACGGTGAGCCCCCTCCCCCCTCCCGGACCTCGCGCCTCCCCCCGGGACCCCGCGCCTCCCCGGCCACGCCACGACGGAGCCAGATAGAATCGGCTGGGACAGAACGTCGGGCCGAGCAGGGGAGATGAAGGGTCAGACTGGAACAGGGACATGAAAGTTTGTCCCAGTTGGCAATCATGTGCAAAATGGCTTTAGTGGTGGTGACGAAACTGTATCATTGGGTCACCCATTTGTGATTGTTAGATTGCTCTAATTGATATTGCGATTGCATGTGCTTTTGCCAACTTCGCATGCTTTAGGCATGTAGGTAAGTACCGGTATTAATGTTGATGACAATTCGTAAATGCCCTTATATGAAATGAGTGCGACTCCGGTCTCTTCCTAAGTTCATTCTCTTTCCCTACTCTATCCTTTCTCTCTCCCTCCCCTCTCTTTCCCTCCCTCCGTCCATATACTCACATCAGACAGCATCTTGGTCGCCGCTCGATGTCAAAACACTCCACCACCACACCCGCCTCCCCCCCCCCCCCGCAGCCCCACGGCTCTGTTTACATACAGCGTGTGAGCAGGGCCGTCGAACGGCCTTGTGAAGCGGGCCACACTGGGTGGAGCCGCTCCTAACGCCCGTGTGTGTACGAGACAACACGATAGGCGCCGGTGGGCAAGTTGTAGTGATGTGATAGGTAGTATGTTAGGTGTTCCTCAAAAGGTAGTAGAAGAACTTTGGCGGGCTTGGCAAGGCAGCCGCTTTGCTTCGTTGAGACATTTCTGTGTACACATTTCTTTTCATTTTATCAGCTCAGCTTAATAATCTTGGCACTGATTGCCAGTCTAAATCGTTTAATGATTTGAAACTCCTTGAGCGGATTTAGGTACTAGCGAAGGGAAGAGTCGATTGTTGAGTCGAGCCTAGCTGGCGGCCCTTCAACCTTTGTTCCTGGGTGGGCCGGGCGTGGCACATACCCCGCGTGCCAAGCTCATTGTGCGATCACATTTAGCAATAGATATAATGGTGGCGAGTGATACGAAAATATGCTCTTTGTACCGGCATGCCTTTTTCCGACGACAACGAACCCGTCCGACTAGAGATACACATCTATGCAGAGATAATACCTAACCGGCCCGTGTGAACCGGCCCTACCAGACGTGCGGCGGGAGGTTTGTATGCAAATGTCGTCTCATGGCTGTCAAAATATTCCGGCCCGCCCCTCTGGCGCGCGCCGACCGCCAGTGCACGTCCTCTTCGCGGTGGATTCCTTCACCCCTCCGGCTGGTTCTGTCATATTGGTATGGGACTTCGTTGACCGTCAGTCCTTGCGAACGTACTCTCAGATCATGTCTGCGTGCGTTTAAGTGCGTGACATGCGTGTGAATCGGTGTTCTGGGCACGTTCTAGCATGGTCTGGATAAACGTAGACTCGAGCTCGTCATTTCGGCTCAGTACGACCGAAAACCTCAGTCAAATGCTCCCATCCTTGGCGGGTTAGTGACCGAACACTGATGTTCTCTGTCAGGATTAGCGTACGAGACCAGCTAAAGTGTAAATCTGGCACGTGGCAGACGTGGGATGAGGTGTGAGAGACGCGGCTGGCTGGACAGGAGACAGTTTGGATGAGGGAGACAGGATATTTCTCGAGATACGCTCCCGCGACTGACACTTGACAGAAGTCGCCCGAAAAAATAATTTGACTCAAGTCTTTGCGCATATTCAATTGTTAGACACCATGAGGTTGCTCCGGTTTTGAGCGATACCTCTACCTTCATTTCTCACCGGCATTACAACTGAGAGTTGCCACGCGTCAGTCGTTACTTTCCATAATCAATGTGTTGTGTGGGTCACCCGTACAGTCACCTGGCCAACAGTCTGATCACTGGACGGGCGAGTTAGAGTGAGTGACAGATGCGTGTTAGTCTGACAGGTGAAGACGCGTGGAAGTGACAGCTGAACACAGCTCTGAGTGTCCGATGGCACGTGCCGAGCGGCCAGTCACCACCGCCACCAGCTGGTTCTTACGTCAGGCACGTGGCTGGATATTTTGGGGTTCTGGTGGTCATATGAAGTATGTCCTGAATAACGGAATATGGTATGCCGAGGCTGTCGTGCTAGCATGCCTACATGTGGCACCGGATTTCTTTTCTTTTTAACGTCTTAACGTCTTTTAACGTCTTGGTCCTCCCGGGTCATAAAACTGGACCACCTAAGAGTCGCATACTCATAAAAAGTGTACTCATACAACGCGAAGACCCGTTTTTGAATAGTTGGTCTTCTAAATATAGCGTACAGCAGAAGTAACATCTTATACAAATTGTGAGACGTCATTGTTCTTTCCGAGCGTTTCGCTTTGACAATCTCAGTCATTTCCTGCATCAGCCACGCCTGCTTTCAGCCCTACTTCTTTCTACATGCAAATATACCTACTAAGAATCCTACAAACCGTATTGTCATATCTCTGAACGACCTGAGCATACAAATGATGGATTTAGTTGCTAACCTCTGCTCGCTTCTGTGCTGCCGTTTCTCCGTAGCTGAAGGCGGCCGCTGCCTCCCCCTTGCCCCTCCCTTCAATAAATGGGCTGGGTAACGGGGTCCAAGGGTAGAGGGACTTTTTGTGGAATTTCGATGACTGGAAGTCTAGCAAATTTGTGCTGAGACTGATAAGAACTCCGAAGCATTACT